CAAACCCAGGTTCTGCCCCCAGTCAACCTCACAGTCTCAATGTTCTTCCTGAGGATTGGACCAACAACGGTCTCTCTTCTTCAGGTCTTGATAGATGCTGGCTGTCATGCAGGAGGTACTCAGTAACACACAGGAGAGGCACAGGGATTGGAACTTGGGTGTCCCAGGCAGCTACTGCCTCTCCCAAGGGCTTTGCAGTGGTGTTGGGTAAGGGACAGTAAAACTCCCAAAGCACCTAAATCAGGGTTGTAATTTCCCCACCAGGGTCTGAGGACCTCCAGACTTCCTCCAGGGCTCTGGTGTGACCGACCTTGAGATGCCTCCTGAAGTCCTGTGAAATCTTTACTAGGGATTGGCTATGGGGCCTCACCAGGCACTGATGAAGGGGCTCTTGGAATTTCCATGTTGAAAGCTGATGTGTGGGACCTTGAAGTTGCCACAGCCCACCTAACTTGGGCCGGAACATACCTCTGCAACCTAGACTTGGGGAGCCCTCTAAATCTTCCCATGCACTGGCCCAGAGGGTCTGAAAACTTCTATTAGTGGTTGGGCATGGGGAGCCTCCAAATTCCCATGTGGAAAGCCTCAAAGCTCCTATTTTGGGGATCACATCCTTATCGGGGGCCTTGGGAGGGTGGACGGTTGTGGCCATTCTCCAAGTGAAAGACTGAGGTGCAGAGAGGGTTGGAGGGAACCCTGAAAGCTGTCTGGACCTGAGCCCTTCTGACCCCAGGGACTGGGGAGGGGTCCGGGGCCCAGGGACAGCAGCCAACCTCATCAGGGACAGAACTCCAATTTCTGACCCTTCCCATCCCAGGTGGACTTCCTGGAGATAGAGAAGGCCCAGGGAGGAAGCAGCAGTCACAAGTGCAGGAACTTCAGGTGAGAAGGGGTGGGGCCAGGATCTGGGGTGGAGCCAAAGCTCCTAATGAGGCGTCGAGCCAGGGCTGGGCAGGATCAGATGTCAGATGAGGGGAGAGGCCAGTCAGGGTCAGGAGTCTGGGGTATCAACTGGGGTCCCAGTGAGGTGGTAGATCAAGTGAGGGGCAGGGTCCAGGTGGAGAACACGTGCCTGCCTGCCTGCTCCAGGAGGGACCACGAAATTAAACTAGAAGCTTCGAGGGACACTTTGACAACCAACGTGGGGCATCTGAGATCTCAGACACACCATCACCCCCAGACCACAGCTCTCCTCATCTGTTAACCCTCCCCAGGACTCGCTTTGGTCTAGAAAATCCTCATTGCTCAGGCAGGTAGGTATAAGGCTGAGAACCAGAGGTGGGGCAATTCCTCTCTAGGGACACACAGCCCAAGCCCATAGCTGCCAGAGTTGCCTCATTTTTACTCCAGAAGAGAACGAGGTGCCAGGCAGGTGAAATGTCCCCAGTCCCTCAGGCACCCCTAACCCTTGGCTGAGGTCCCAGGATGCTGGCTGGACAGTAAGGAAGAGATGGCTCAGGGGAGAAAAAAGCTGGGGAGGGGTCAGGGCTTGGGAAGAAGGGCTGTTGGGGAGTGAGCTGGGAGCAGAGGAGATGGTCTGGGGTGGCTAGGGTAGTTAGCTAGACTAAGAAGGGAAGAGAGGGCACTTAGGCAGAGGAAATGACAAATACAAAGGCCCTGAGGTGGGAATGTACTTATGGGAGGAGTCGTGAGTGGCCAGTGATGAGAGAGATGATGTAAAAGAGGGATTCTGTAGGGCCTGGCGGGAGAGGTGATGGATTCAGAGGGAAGTGAAAACAGGGCCAAGTAAACAAGCCTGGATCATTGTAAGATCGCCCCCTGGTGGCCCAGTGGAGAACCGGCAGGGAGTAAGGTCTGGTCCACCTCTGGCCCTGTCACAGGAAGTGTGGCAGCCTGAGCAAGGCTGCTCTCCTGTCTTCCTGATTTGGTTTCCCCTTGGCAGAATGGGCACAACACAGCCCCCGACTCTCCACAAGCAAGGACAACATCCTCAGCACTTTGAGGGGATATACTTATGAGATTCCCACCAAACCCTACAGGCAGAACTTTTATTTCCGCTTCAGAGGGGGAAACTGAGGCTCAGGAAGGGCAACACATGGGATGCAGAGGCAGGACTTGAATTTGGGCCCTGGCAGTCTAGGCTGGCCTCTGGTGGGGGTCTGGCCCCTCCTGACAGGTGCCCTTGTGTAAGGAGGCCCTGGCCAGGAGGCTGGACCAGGGTCAGGAGCTGGAGGAGGTGCTAAGAGTCTGTAAGGGCCGCAGGTAGGTGGGAAGGGTAGGGGGCTGAGGAATCCAGAATGCGGGGAAAGGGCCTGCAACCCCCAACCCCCAAGGTTCTCTCCTTGTATCTTGGTTTCTCGGATTCTTTGGTTGAGAGAGGTGCGTGGAACGTACCAACTCCCTCTTTGAACTTTTCCCTCGCTGTGTTTGGTGCCTTCTGGTGATTCTCGCATCAACTGGTGCCATCAAGGGCCAGTGGGAGCCCCTTCAGTGTTGCATATTTCAGTCAGAGGACAGGCCTTTTATCTTCCTGTCCTGGTGTCCCCGTCGACGAAATGGGGACAAGATGATCCCATGTCTAATTTACTTTAAAATTCAGGTCCTCTGGATTTGAAGTAAATTGATCCTGTGTCTAATTTACTTTAAAATTCAGGTCCTCCTACAGATTTGGGTGCACTTTTAGAGATGGAAAGCACCATCCTCTTCCCAAATTCGCGCTATTCCAAGATAAGGACTCCGAAGGATCTGACAGCCCAGCACCCTGCCCCAGGTGATGGGCATCATGTGTGGGATCCACGCCAGGCAGAGGCCGTTACCCCAGTCAGGACCACATATTCCAGGTATTTGGCCACCACTTGAAAAACTCTAACCTAAAACTCAGTCTTTTTTATTGCCAATCAACCCCAGACACCTTGCTAATTAGCATGATGAAAGTATTTCTTTCTGGTGGGAGCAGTGAGGTTAAGACGTGTGGATCAGGGAGAATATAAGTGGCCTTCCTGCCCAGACACCTGGCCAGAACCTGCACTTAACCCAAGAGGCCCAGGCCAAGACCCCTCAGAGTAGCCCCCATGACTGGAGAACTTCCCAGTTGGTCTTGTGTCCTGCTGCTTAGAACCCTGCCCGAGTTTCGGTGGCCTCTACCTCAGTGAATGTGTGGCCCTAAGAGGAGAGAGTGTGCTTTCCTAGGGCTTCAGACCAGGCAAGTGGAGATGTGATTTCACAGAACCTGGAGGTGGGGTCTACGATGTCCACCCACATCCCAGAGATACCCAGGACCTGGCTTCCCAGTCTGTCTCCCACCAAACTGGCTCACAAAAGGAAGATAAATCTATAAAAAGCCATGCAAATGACATGCAAACAATACACAAATACAACAGTTTAAATTCAAAGATCATGCAAATTATATGCAAACATCACTTGAGGGGGCCTGGGTCCCCGGTGAAGGTTGTTAGATGCATTGCCAAGGGATACGTTGAGTATAATAGTAATGACAGAGGTCCCCGTTTCCTGCCTTGAGCCTGGTCCTTTACATGGATCAGCCGTTGAACCCCATAGCCACAAGGTGAGGGGATCTTACATCCCTGGGGCCCCAGCCCAGAAGAGGAGGGTCTTCAGGACTCAGACTTCCCGCTCTGTGCTTTCTGCAAGACATGGGCCACAGCGGCCCCTGGTGGCTGGTGCTGGGACAGCGGCTGAACCTCTCACCCCACCCACATCTGTCTCCTCCGATTCCTAGTGAAACCCCTGATCACCCACTTCCAAGCTTCAGGTTGGTGGGGGGATAATGAGCAGGACTGGCTGAGGGGAGTGATCGAAGTCTCAAGGGCTCTGGCTTCCCTCCTTACATCAGCCTCTTCAGGGATTTTTAAAATACAAACTGCCCGAAAAGAAACAAGAGATGGACGGTCTCCCGCCAACCCCCCTGACCCCTGGTTCCCTCCCTGGAGGCCACAGCTGTGAGCGGTGTTTTCTTCCGGATACATTTGGATAAAGGCCCCTCCCCCCAATTTAAATAAATGTACACAAAGTGTCACCCTCCCTACTCTTAACACTAATGTTGTAGAGGAAAGCCCCCTCAGCCTTTTTACCAGTTGTATAGTCTTCCACTGTGTGGCTGGGTGGCCATTGATTTAAACGGTCCCCAACTGACTTTTGTTTTTGATTTGCACAAAATGTGGTAAGAAATGCTTCATTTTGCACTCATATCCATGTATCTGCAGAAAAATTCCTAGAAGGAGGGATTGGTGAGGGAAAGGGTGTGTATGTGTACATTTTAAATAGATCCTAGAAAACTGCTGTATTGAGCAACTGTACTTATGAGCAATCCCACCAGCACTGCCTTCAGGCTCACAGCCCTGGCTCTGCTAGTCCCTCTAACTGGGGGTCAGGAAGCCTCCAAGCCCCAAACTGTCTCACAGAGGCTGCATGCTAGCAGGGCAAGGCTCGGGGGTGCTGGGGTGACTCCTTTGTGTTCCTGTAATCTTTACAGCTTGATTACTGTCATGCTGCCACATTTTAGGCATTTTTGCATAGTGTGATACTAAATGTTAGCAAAATGAGCCTTTTTGTGCAGAATTTGACTTAGGGGTGTTTCCTGAAAACCCTTGAGGAGATCAGCTTGAAGTCAGCGGCCGAACCACGATCTGCATTCACACAATGGCCACCAGAGGGCGTGTGTGAGCCAAAGGTGAAGCCACCACGGGGCTCTGGCAACAGCCTCTATGGTGCAAGTGTCATTTCCCTTGAGAACGCCCGGTCATGGTCTTTAGTAACATTTCAACTGAAAATGGCAGAACTTGTATTAACAGGGAAAAAAAGCCAAACCATTCCCCAGGAAAATTCTGAGCCCATGACAGACTTAAATCAAAACCGTGTGAAATGATCCAATGGCAGGCAGTGTCCAGGTGAGTCCACACACAAATGGACAAATGCATGAACGGGATCACAACTCGCTTGTCTGCGCCCGTACGACCCTGCGCCCGCACTGTCAGCCATTACCAGAAACAAATCTGATGGTGAATAATATTGAAATTAAAGTCAAAAATTTTAATGGGAAAATTTGTGACAAGTCCTAGAAGAGACAATTCATAGTCTTGCCATAAAATTACTGTTAAAAAAAAAGTTGGGAAAATGAGTAGTGTCTCATCCCGCTTCGAATCCCATCTGACAAGCAAGAAATGGCATGGTGTCCTGGGCAGTGGCTCAGGGAGTCCGTTCTGCTGTCAGTTCTGAGTTTTCTGAGGTAATGAGCTGCAACGTGCAGTAAAAACACCAATGCCGGCAAACCACGGCAGGTCACACTGTTTGCTTTTCTGCTCGTCCCCAAAACTTAATTAGATGCATGTGAGTTGGCACTGCTGGGATATCCAGCAGATGGAGAAGTCGACACCGGGGGGGTGGTCCCCTGCCAGCTGCCCCTGGACTGAGGAGATAGCAACAGAGCATCAGAGGGACAACCATGAGACTGATGGCCCATCTTACCCCCATTTCTCCAAGAACCATGAAGAGGAGTCAGGAGACAGAGATGGGACAGAGGGGTGAGACAGCTGGCCTCACTGACTGATCTGTGACATGGGGGAAATTGGACCCGATGGGTCACCCCATGGGGCTCTGGCGAAGGACTGATGTGACATCTCAGTACAGCTGGGGTTTCTACGCAGTCTGAGGGTGAGGGAGACCCAGTTAGGCCTGGAGCTGATGATGGTCCCGTCCCTAACACATCATGGGAAGAGGCTCAGAAACCTGGCCCAATGCTCAGGGGCTCCCTCTGCCCCGCAGACATGTATTGGGCACACGTGATTCTGAGGTGTTCGTCCACAGGACCCCCCAGAGTGGAAAACACTATTGAAAATGGCTCTTCTCGGGCAGTTTGCTCTGCGGCGAGTCCTGTTTGCAGCCCATGAGAGCAGGACTGCTTGTCCCCTCCCCAACTCAGGCTCTGGTGTCGGCTCCTGAGCCAACCGTTCCAGGTGCCCAGGTGTCACACCCTCCACGTGACCCGAGGGTTCAGCCTCTCCTGACTCAGCTGGAGACCAGTGCTACTGTCACTGGACAGCGCCCGCTGCGTGAGCCTCTTCACCTTCCTTTCTTGTACTTTCCTTCACAGGCTGAGCCCTCCCGCTGGCCCCCGTCCAACCTGCTAGGCGCCCCCCACCCCCGTCCAGCTATTTCCTCCCATGTGTCCCAAATAGCTGCTATGGTGCTTGCACCTCAGAGGACAGTGTCGGGCAAACGTATCAACAGATTTCCTTTGGGGGCTGCCTCAGTACATGGCATGGAGACACCAACAGGTCGGCGCTGCTCCACCTGTCAGTCTGAGAGCAGCTGGGACAAAGGCACTGGCCTCAGGGGGACACACACTGGCCTCAGATGGACATCTGCAGACCTGCGCTCCGGGAAGGTGGACGTGAGTGGTAAGGGGACCGGGAAGGGACAGGCTGGTGCCTGAGGGTGTGACTGGGAGCCACATTCCTCAGGCACCCAGGGTGGAGGTGGTGAGACCTGCTCTTTGAAAGAGCACCTGTGCCTGCCCAGTGCAGGGGACCGCGCTGCAAGTTGGGTGGGAAACGGGTGGCACAGGCAGGGAGCTCACAGGGTGTGGCATCTGCACCAGAACCCCGACATTCCCATTACTATGTGGTCACGGTCTGGGAAAACCCTGTGGGGACCTGGCCTCCTGGGTAATGGTCCCAAGGTTAAGGGCAGGCCCTGTCTGCCAGGGTCCCCGCTGGGATACTCACTCCAGTTGACTCTCATACACTTGCACCCACAGAGGTGCTGAGCTTGGCCCAAGCACCAAGCTCCCTGCTCTGCCCACGTGTTTGTTGTGAGCAGCATGGTTGCCATGGTGATATGACATGCACCACCTTGCTGAAGGCACCAGGAGGCAGCCTCCCCTGTGCCTCTGCTTAGGTCTGGGGGTAAATCGGTGGAGGGCTGGCTGTGGCACAGCAGGAAACACCCATGTCAGGCAAACGGGTGGGCTGTGTAAGGCCTCGGCCCGCCTCCCATGGACACACATCACACCTGTGCCTGTGCAGCCTTCTGGGGATGACCCCGCATGTGGGGTCGGGCCCCTTAACCACAGTGGGAGGCTGGGAAGGCCCCAGGGATGAGAGTGATGGGGCCCCCCAATCCTAGCTGGCTCAGCACACTTCCTAATACCCCGAAGAAGTTCCAGAGGGAGCATTCTGGGATGTCCCAGATCCCTGACTCATTTTCTTCCCAGTCGCCAAAGTAGATCTTCACTGTGGCCCAGCTGGGCACGAGCAGAGGGGGCGGATAGCCTGGCAAAGCCCAGGCACTGCAGGGCATGAGTCTGAGCCCAGCAGGGCTGCCTAAATGTCTCTAGGGTGTCAGGGCCTCATCTGCTCACCCCCATTCTTCCCCATGGGGTACAGACTCTTCCCCAGGAGGCAGGGTCCTTCCTCTCAACAGCTAGAGCCATGTCTTGGGGCTTCACATTCACCACTCAGCAGCTGCTAGAGTTACTGAGTCCTGCGGGGGCTGGGGGGCAGCAGCGTAGGTCTTTGCAGAGTAAGCTGTGCCCCCAGGTGGTTCCGCCAACCTGCAGTCATCATGACAATGGATGGAGTGCCCAACAGGTCCGCCTCGTTGCCAGGACCTTGGTTGGGGGAGGCTTGCGAGGCCACGAGGTGGCTGACAAGATGGTCGGTTCCGAGAACCAGCCACCCACAGGGCTCCACGTCTCCACCCCGACACCGACTCTGGGACCCTGAGGGCATCCTTAGGATTATGCCCTGAGACTCACCTGAGACCACAGGCTGCCTCCTCCAGGGGTAGGGCGGGGAGAGGCCAGCGTCTGCAGGGTGAGGAGCGCGTCCCTGGCACTGGTCAGTGGGAAGTGTCCAGAGGATCCTGGGAGAGGTAGGAGGAATCAGGACAAATGTCCCAGCCCCAAAAGCTGCAGCAACTCCTCAAGTGGGATCTGCTGGCCCCTCGTCAGGAAGAGGCCTTGACCACGGACACCAGCCTGGGGTGGGGACACTGGCACAGCCTGACGGGATCCACTGACATGACTGGGGTCACGGCCACTGCGAACAGAAACCTCACGGTTTAAATAAGGAAAGTGGCGCATCGTGGCCAGTCCGGAGGGGCCGTGAGCGCTGTCGCCCACGCCGCACTCGCAGCTCCGCGGGCCTGGCTGCAGGGGCACTACGGCCCGGGCTGGCGGCCTCACTCACCGAAGCTGGGTGTGGATGGGCAGCTGGGCTGGCTCCTCGGGCCCCCACCTTCGGTGGTGTCCGCCACCGTGTTAGCTGTGTAAATGCTGGCTTCTTCTTGAAACTTCCCCATGTTCTTTTTATACCGGATTCTTTTGTTGCCGAACCAGTTGGAGACCTGTGGACATACAGACAGAAGCTGCCGGAAGAGCTGACCCAGTGACGAGATGACGTGTACACGACAGGCTCCCTGAGGTGCTCCTGTTTCTACCGCCCTGGAAGAACATCTGAGTGACAACGCGTGGCCACGGGGAGGTGTGAGAGGCCGAGACGGAGAAGGTGGTGCTGACTGAACCACAGACCCGGGGAAATGTCCGCAGTGTGCTGAGAACACCCTGGAGCTGATGTGTCTTACGAGGGAGGGAGGAACTGTGCTGCCCAGGAGCCAGGTGCTGCTGGAGGGGAAACGGGCACGTCTGTGACACGCGCAGAGATGAGTGTCCACTCACCGCAGGGCAGGCAGCAGACTGGATTCTGGATTCTTCTTTAGGGAGAGCCAGAGCTGGGGACACATGCCTGCGAGCACTGAGCTAAGTGCCTTTGCACCCGTGCCTGTGTTCAGCGCTCAGAGCCAGCTTGGGGGGTCATTGCACTCTTCCTACAAGCCCGCGGTCTTGGCACATGGAGGAGACCCTCCAGGGGTTCCCCCCAAGGCGGCTCTCTGGGGGAGGCTGTCCTGGGCACTGTTGGGTACTGAGCAGCATCCCTGGCCCCCTCAGTTGTGACAATGAAAATGTCCCCTAGGGGAGGAATTGTCTGGGTAGCATCTATGCCAGTGCCTGCCTTTGAGGGTGGAGATGTGCACAAATGGAAACACCTCGACACCCCGAAGTGGAGCAGCTGCACCCACAGTGGGATGTGCGCACAGTTAAATGAACAGAAATAAACTTCTGAGTTACGGTGCCAGACTGTGGACAACCTTTCCTCTTTAAAGTCCCCACATCCTCCTCTCAGTGTTAATCACGAAAGGGAAGGGCACCCGAGTGCGAGCTCCGCACACAGTGACCCTACCCTCCTTTTGGTTCCCACTTATCTTCAAGGAATGTGCCAAACGTCTCCGTGGAACTAAGTTTGCAGGCAAATGGCAGCAAGCAGTTTTCTGTTGGACTCAACTGGCATTTTAGAGGGACAAAGAGCAAACTTTCTGTGTGGGTGGGACTGGGAGGAGGCTGGCCCTCTTCCTAGGCAGATGAGGGGGTCCAGTGGTTGGGGAGAGCTGGCCCCAGCCAGGGTCCCCCTTCTCCATGGGGAGCGCCCCAACATGGCACCTCACACAGGTATGGGTGCCGCGCGGGCTCCCAGATACCCTCTCCCCGACTATGGCTCGGAGCCACCAGCCACTCCCTGCCTTGTCCCTGTAGCCAAGCCAGCTGCAGCGACCCAGGTTCCCCACTGCCCTCCGCCACCCACTGGCTTAACTCTCCTTCCCCTTTCTCCCTTGGGCCTCCTCATCTGGACCTGCAGCTGATTCTGTCCCGAAAATGTCTGTGACCTCATCTGTGACACCCTTTGCCCTAATGGTGCTCTCCTTCCTCACTACATTCTCCTTAGGTGAACCCCACTTCATGCATCTGTACCCCATATTCGGAACCCGCCCTCAACTGATTGTCAGCCATTTCAAGCTGCCCTGAGACCTGGTAGACCCAGCAAAGCGAGAAGAAACTTCCAGCACAGAATTCTGCTGCTGGTGGGTGGAGATTTCAGGGCCTGGCCACGGAGGGGGAGTCACTGAAATGTGACCGGTGCTTCTCAAAATTTTGTCTGCAATGAACCCTTTCCTCAGGTGAAGTCTCAGACCCAAGACCCATCTGCTCTGCAGGGGTACCAGGCCCTGAAGTGAACTCGCCTGTTCTTCAGACAACTGCTCGTGGTGGCAAACAAGTTGCCACGCTTCACGCTTCTTTTGGGGCCTTGGAGCCCGAGGCTTGGCCCCTTGCTTAAGCTCTGGCCTTGGTGCTGAGGACACCACAGCAGTTCTGGGTGAGTAAAGTAAGATGGGACTGGGACACCTGCAAGCCATCATCGAGAAGTCACAGCTGGACTTGGCCTGGGCTGGAGCAGAGGGTAGTGGCTAAGGGCATAGGCACTGGAGGCCACCGGACTAGGCTGGAAACTCAGTTCCTCCAACTGGACAGTGCGAGGAGGGGGGTGCTTCAGTGAGCCAGTATGAGGCAGCATCAATACCAGCCATCCTGGCTGCCAGAAGCAGGGGCTGCCGAACCGAGACCCCCGCCTCAAGCTGGTGGGCTGCCTGTACTCATCGTTCCCACTTCAAAACTTTTTCTGAAATGTTTCTTAGACTCTTACCTTAGCTCCTCCTCCCTCGCCCCCAATTCCACTGAGAAGACTAATGGGGTCACCCAAGGTTGTCCAGGTCCCATCTCCCATCTGCACTAGCATTCCCCGTCTGAAGGAGCGCTTTCTCTTGAGAGCTGGTTCATCATTTTAAGTCCTAATCTTGCTCCCAAATTTTTCTTCTCCTAAACTTATAACCTCACCTCTCTCATGCAACACAGCACATTCCTGATACAAAAATATTACATTGTAAATACTCCAATTCACCCAGTACCACAAGCTACACTCTACCAGCATAGCCCCAGGGCTCCCCATGCCTGGTGGGTGCACGTGTCTGAATCCCAAAGGACGGAGCCTGAATCCTGAATCCCAAAGCACAGAGCCGGGATGCGAGCCCAGCCAGGCCGACTCCAGGCCTGGACACTTGGCTCCTGCTCCACACATTTAGTGAACGTCCCTGAGTGCCCTCCTCACAGGCCTTAGCCTTCCTCCCCTTCTGGGTTCAGGGGAGCACGCGGGAGAGGCCCGTCACCTGGGAGACTGTGATGCCGCCTTTCCTGGCCAGCTCTTGCTTCACTTCCTCGCTGGGGTAAGGGTTGCTCAAATGAGAATAAAAGTACTCATTCAGCACTTCTGTGGCCTGCTTGCTGAAATTCCGCCTCTTACGCCTGCAAAGACAGACAATCTCAGCCAGTGTCCACATGCTGGGACTCCACCAACGTCCCCTCATCCCCATGTATGATTACAGAGGTTAGAAAAACAGCAGCCAACACTTCCAATCGCCTTCCAAGAGGCTGTGTGAGGGCCACACCCGCAGCCACGGCCAGACCCCTGGATGAGCCCCGAGGCCACCAAGCAAACTTAAACCTAAGCCGGCACCGACTCGCGCCTCTTCCTAAGAGCTGACCCTGGGGCTGTGAGTGGTGGGCAGGGCCTGACCTGGCATCGAGGAGCCGCGAGCGCAGGGTCATCACAGCCTCACAGGTGCTCTGCTTCAGCTGCATCTGGATGGCACTGAACTTGCTGTGAATGATGCCAACCATGCGTTCCATCTCCTCGGGCAGGACGGGCCTTATCCTGCTTTGCTCCCGGAGAAGATTAGTGACGTGCGTGGTGAACTCATGGCAGGCCTGGGGCAGGGACACACACGCCAGCCTGTGACTACCCAGCAGGCTGGCTCGCGGCTCCGCGGGGACCAGCCACCTGCCAACCCCCTCGGCTCCCACAGAGACTGGCTATGGAGAAGTGAATGCAAAGGGCTTCAGTAAAACCGGCACCTTTGCCGTGAGACCAAGCGCGTGAACTCTCTGGTCTGTGCCACAAAAGAAAGGCGGTTAGCGGTCCATGTTTTGCTTTGACAAATGTGCATTCACATGATAGAAACTCTTCCATGCAGAAAGATCACCTGTTCATATTTCTCTAGCTCAGAGTGGTAAATCTGTCGGATCTGGGACAGCTTGGCCCTGTAGTCAGAGTGCTCAAGGCCATTGCCATTTGGACAGCCACCTGGTGTTGCTGTGCCAGCCGCCGCTGCCGCTCCTCTTCCTCGCTTCTCCGGCCTGGACACGCCCTCGGCCAGCAGCATGTTATCCAGCCTCATGAGCCGAGCGTCGGGGAGACCCTCTTCCGCAATGCCACGGATGCTTAACGCTGGGTAAGAGAGACCGGGCCGAGTCAGTGTCCGCTGTCTGAGCCCAAATGACCGCAGCCGGTCACCAGCACTGGCACCACGTCTGAACGCTCCTCGCAGAACCCTCACGGGGCAGGAGGACTTCCTTTTATCTGGTAACAGACACTGAGTTACCCACCGTGACACTGAATCAGGAACTACAGTCGGGACTGCGGTCTGAGGGGACAGACAGATGCCAGCTCAGTGCAAACCGTGAGGGCAAAACTCCCAGCCCACAGCTGGGTCCACACAGGGGGGCTGGGCAGGGCCGAGGCAGCGCCCAGCACTGGAGAGGCCTGAAGCCCTGCACTGTGTCCCTTGAGGAGAGGGGAGGGCACACTCCGACAGACGCTTGCCCAGCATGGGCGTGGCTACAAAGACGACCAGCAGCCTGGCACTGGCACAGGGCTGGGCTCGTATGCGCTCGTATGTGTCTGCTGCACCTGCTGTGAGTGTGAAGGAGGGCTGTTACGAAGTCAGTGAGGAAGAGCCTGACTCAAGAGGTACCAGAAAAAATGAACTGACTGAGATATAAAGCAGAGAAATGAGACAATGGCCCTGCAACCTGGAAAAGCCATCCCAGAGAGGCTGAGAGGTTGACCTGCTCAAGGACATGGCTAGACAGGCAGGAGAGGCAGTGGGGAGAGCTGCCACTATGTGGGTGGATGCAGGTCAGCTATGGGGTGGCCGGGACAGTCCCCAGGAACTGAGACCACTGGGTGTGGGCTTGAAAGAAAGGAAGCAGCCAGGGAGACCCCCACATTTGCCCCGTGTGGCATGGCGTTCTCCCAAACACAGCACACAGAGCAGCAGGTGGGCAATGAAAAGGCGCTGCAGGCTGGTCCTTGACCCGGCTGAGCAGGGGCGTCCAGGTGGCCGCAAGGCAGCTGCTCACTGGCAGTCATGGTGGAGCTAACAAGTTTGGGCAGCAGGCAGGTAGGTATTCACGTGTTATCTGCATGTGGTGTTTTTGAGAAATCTGTATACATCTACCTGTACCTGCGGCTACACTTCTGGGAAGAAGGCCACACCCCCTATGAGTGCCAGAAAACCAACATTTAAGGAACAGGCAAAGGAGGAGATAGAGAGAATAATCAGGTTGAAGGAAAAACAGAAGTGGTCACAGAGAAGTGAAACATGGGCTTAGTCATCGGGACAGTGTCAGTAACTTCTGCAAGAGCGATGGCAGGGTCTGCTGGGTAGAGCCCGGCGAGAGGAGGGTGGGAGCCGGGCCAGGCGGCGGGGGCCAGAGAGGCTGCTGCAGGGCTACAGAATGAGGGCCAGGTCCGAGAAGCGTGGTCCCGTGTTGTGCTTGCTTTTTCAGTGATAGAAGCAATGTCCGCAGAGAAAGGGACAGGTGGAAGATTGGGGTGGGGCAGTCCCTGAGCGGATGGAGGCAGGGGACCGGGAAGGAGCGATGATGTCCATCTCGTTCTGACTTTCCAGAAAAACAAAGTTTAAAGTGTTTTCTCAGAAACGGTCTCTCTTAATACTATAAGCTACTAACCGACTTAAGTGCTCAGATAAAAACTGAGTTTAATCGCATCATAGATACTCATTAATCATTTGTCCCTTTCTTGTTTCCCCACAGAACAGATTTACCTTTTCTGCCAAAAACTCATGAGTGAAAATTGAAGCCCAGAAGAAATCCTCGTAGGAAATTTCCTCACATGTAGGGACCCTCGCCACCCAGTCTCACTGGGTTGCCACGTGGCTCTTTCTGAAAGGACTGAAGGAAAAGTGCCCCTTTCGTCAGCTGCCTGTGGCCTTCCAGTTCAGAGACCCAACTCTCTCACTACCTTACTTGATCTTTAAGCAGCACCAGATGTAAACTTTAGTTCCCATGAGCCAGGACCGCCCCCGCAGGCTGTGCACACCCCCATGTGGTTGGTCCCTGCAGACTCCAGCAGGCAGCCTCAGCAGCCGGGCACCTGAACGGAGGACCGGAGGACCGGGAAGGCCCCTCCCTCCTCTCTCCCAGTCGCCCTCCTCCCCGTCTCCGTTTTCCCATCTTACTCCTCACATCTTCACAGCCAACCTGCCACTCAGCTCCTCCATTCCTGAGCCCTGCTGGGCCCCCTCTCCTGCCCTCTGTGCCCCGCAGAGGAAAACCCTCTCCCCCGCTCCGACCCATGGTTCACACCTGCCTCCACCTCCCAACGCTGGCTCCCACACGAGTCTTCTGTTCAAAGACCAGAATCTCTCTGGTACCCACAGGTAAAGCCTGGAGCCCGAAATGGCACTCAGGGTCACGACTGACATCCTTCCAAACCCACCTTCAGGAACATTCCCTCTGCTGGGCCCTGCTCGGCCCTCCGATGCTCTGCTCCTGTCCCAGGCTGATTTGGCGGCCCCTCCCTGAGCCCAGGATGCGGGTCAGGAGTGGGCCAAGAGGGACAGGCAGTTCCTACTCTCCCCCTGCAGGGCCTCCAGCATGCCCTGGCACCCAGGGGTGGCGAGGCCACCTCCACACCTTCCAGTACAGCTTCAACTGAATTAGGAAAAGTAGTGGTTAAGGTTGGAACACACAGCTTAGTGAAGGGGTGTGTGGGGCAGGTGTGTTCATGCGTGTGTATACATGTGACGCTGGGCTGCTGTGGGGCATGGTATCTTCCTCTCATTCTTTTATTTATGCAATAGCAAGTATCTGAGACTCCATCACAAGCCAGGGACCAAAACAACAAGGAACTTACTGCTCTCGAAATGAAAAACTCTCAAATAATGAAGAGTACACCTGAGGCTTTTTAAATTTCTCTTCCAGGGGTACGTGCTGATGCAGCCTTTTTTGGAGGGGGGTTTGAAATGCTGCTTCACGCTGAAAGTGCATGTCCTTTGATCTCCAAACTCCTGTCCTGAGAATTTATCCCACAGAAACACTGGCCCCTGAGAATGCTGCATTTATAGGACGTACATGACCACATGGATCATAACTGAAAAACAGAAACTGCCCAGATGTCCTTGAATAAGGAGACGACATGCCCGTCACACCTCGCAGTGTTAACTGAGCTTATGGGCTGGTACGACAAGCAGTCACATGTTACAAGTTTGATTTCCTTAAGACTGTATATTTTTGCAACATGGACATGTATGAGTAAAAGCAAACTTACCAAAAAAAATAAGTTATTCTGAGTCTTGGTCACCACTACCAGTCACAACTGTGGATGAAGCCACGCCAAGCACGTGTGTTTGGGCTTCACTTTACCTGCCTGCCAAGTGTCCTCTGCCCTCTGACAACTGCCCCTCCCAAGCATCTCCCTCAGCACAGTGCAACTGTCCTCCCAGTACACTGTCGCTGGCCTAATTTTGGTCATTAGACACTTGTTACCTTCAATTACAAGCTCATTTCCGGTTGGCTGTTCAAGAACATCTCTGTTTGTGCTCCTCAGCTCCCCCGGGGCCCCTGACTGGTGGGCAGGAGGCCTCAGGGACCAGGAGCTCAGCTCAGGGACACCAACTGTTGGAGGCACTTGAAAGAGGTGGAATTAAAACAGAGGCATCTCCCCAACACTGCCAGATTTTCTCCTAGTCCCGACTTAGTGAAGGTGATAAAAACCCCAGTAAACCAAACAGTAAAGTAAAATAAAATTGTGAATATGAACATATTATGTTTTTTGTAAGACACGATACGGTACTACTATGGACTGAATTGTGTCCCCTCCCAAATTCACATGTAGAAGCCCTAAATCCCCAACAAGACTGTATGTGGAGACAGGGCCTAAGAGAAGGTTATTAGAGTCAAATAAAGTCATAAGTCTGGGGCCCTGATCTGTAGGACTGTGGCTGGCTCCTCGATCTTGGAATCCCAGTCTCCACAACTGTGAGGAAATAAATGTCTGTTGTACAAGCCGCCCAGTCTGTGGTATTTTGCTACGGCAGCCCGAGCAGACTGAGACGGGAACATGACCCCAAGTCGTTTTCAATTTTCTCTCCTCACGGAACAAAGGCATGGCTTTTTGGCGGGGAAGAAAGGCTCAGAGGAAAGGCCTCCTTTGCGCCGACAGCCACCTGTCCTCTCACCCCATTGGGTCGGGAGTGCTCAAGCTTAGCAGCAGGACTGTGCTTCAGCTTCCTCTGTGCCAGGGTGTGAGGCTGCGTGGAGCCCCTCCAGGAACCCCAACTCCCCAGGAGGGAGTCTAAACTCCTGGCCGAGTGCCAGACATGTCAGATGCCAACTGGCCCCTCTGAAAGGCCACTTTCTGACCAAGTGACCATAAACGCATCATCTGCAGCCCTTGGCTGGGGATGGGACTGAAGAAAGGAGAGGGTGTTTACTTAATCAGTAACCAAGAGCTTTCCTAAAATGTCTTACTAAGGCTCAAACCATGGGGGATAATCACGTATAGACTTACACAGTTTCAACACTGAAAATCAATGATTATAGAAAACAGTGCCTGTTTTTTCTAAATCCTGATAAAAATCACCTCAAAGAATATGGAAGTAATTTGTTTCCAGACCCTAATTAAAATTTCCTGACGCCAGGGGGCATAGCAACTCAACCTTATCTTTTCTATACATTCCTTCCATTTGGTGTAAAACTGTGCATCATTAAACCGTATATACCCTAAAAGAAACTTCTGATGCACCAGGCATAATTTTTGCTTACTCCTCTGCCTATACGAGCGCGCCCACTTTTCCGAAGTCAGAGCACTATTTCAAGGCTACTTCGAGCTCTTCTCTTGGGTTACAGCCCTCAGCTAGGCCCTAAAAATCAATCATTCTAATATTTTCAGAGGTTCCGTTTTTTTTTCATTAAGATGACACAGGACAGGCCTGGTTTGGAGCCCGCCAGGGTGTGGGACTCAGCAAAATGCTCACCTCCCTTCTTCCCTCCCTGCCCCCGTTTCCCCGCCTAGCGGGTCCTGGGTCCCCAGGCTGGGGAACCCCCTTGCCCTTGCAGAAGGGCCTCCACCACCCAGCACCTAAGAGGGATTAAGCTGTGGGAACGTGAAACAGAAAGGAGTCGAAGCTGAGTGAAAGGTGA